CTAATTACTTACTTTTTTTCTTAAATTCTTTCCATGTTTTCATAAACATTTTCAACATTTATTTTTTTCGCTTTTTGTTCTTAATTAAAAATTTAATTGTAAATGTTGTAACAAAATAAAATTTTGCAAACACCTCAAATAAACATTAGTCATTTGTTAGTGTAAAACAAAATAAGTAATAATTTGAAATAAACACAATTTTAATTGTATATTTTTTAAATTTGTTTAAATAAAAACAGTAATTTACATTAATAATAAAATATTTAAATAAATATTTAAGTTTTTCACAATAACAAGTATTTCGCCATTTTGTATACATCAGTACGTACATACATATATATCAGTAACAATCAAAATAATACTCTTCGTATTGAAAGAATATCTGTAAATGCTGGTCATTGTGAAGACCCATAATATACATATTTCCGTATATATTTTGTATTTGTATGTAAATATTTGTTTTAATTTATAGTAAATAAATAATAATTAAAAATTTCAATTTTTATTGAAGTTGTTTAGTTTTAATACGTTTTTTAACTTTAAATCACCATCATTAGTCACTGATTATTACGAATTGTTTGAAAATTGTTTTTATTTGTGTATAATACTTAATTAAATATTAAAAAAACTATAATAAAAAATATTTGTAATTTAAACTTATATATATATAAACATAATATTATTTAAAATCTTTTTTAATTTTCTTTATTAGTTTGTTTTTTTTTAATAAATATAGGTAAATATGTATATATAATAATATATCATATATAATGTTAAATATTAATAAATCTATTAAATAATTTTTAATAATAAAAATAAAAAAACAACTAAAAACAGAATTAATTCATTTTCATTGGGTGCATGGTAGAATCAAGCCAATTTTTGATAACTTTTTCTAAATGATTCGTTTCAAAAAGATTTTTATAGCGTTCAAATTACATAGTGGCGAAATATATGAATTTGAAACACAGAGTCTATTATCTATTTACAAAGATCAATAATAACAGTGAGAAAATTTTAAATAAATTAATACTCTACATTATATTTAGAACTAGCTATACCCAGTGTGCTTTGCTACCCTAGAAGCAATATAAATAAAAACACATTTAAAGATTTTGAAGATTCTAACTACAATAGTTTTCAAGATACACAATATACATATTACATACATATGCCACACAAATTATTGCAAGTTCGCCAATTTTTCCGAAAAACTTGAACAATTTAATAGTTTCCCAAATATACGAAATTTTTTATTTAACTCATATGGGAGGTGTCAAGCCCCCATTGTTCTCTAAATGTTCACATAAATGTCAAAGTTCTTCATGTAAAATTTTAAGATTCTATCTCTAATAGTTTCTCACATATATTGAATAGGGGCTCCAAGCCCCCCAGATGAAAGTCCAACCTGTTTTCTACAAAATATTCAGATGTATATTAAAGTTCTTCGTGCAAAATTTTAAGTTTCTTACTGAAAAAGGTACCATAATAAACTAATTTTTGTATTTAATTTATATGGGATGTGCCGCGCCCTCGGCTGCTAATCCGCCAACTTTTTGTCCTAAAGTGGCTCCGACAGAATTTGAGGACTCTCACTGTTATACTATCTCAGATATACTGATTTAATATGTTCTTAATATGGGCGTGCCTCCTCTCCCACTTGAAATTTCAAAATAAAAAGTAGCCTATAATTTTGAAGATTCTAACCATAGAAAAGGTATACATAGAACTGAAACTGAGTATGACAAAACCTAAGTCTGCTGTCAAAAACCTAAGTCGTGAGAATGTATTAGTTGAAAAATATGTAACCCAACAAACACAAACTCTTTCGTTTAAAAAGTTTTTATATTATTGTTTGATATTATATTTCGATATTTTATGAAATAATGGTTTGAATTAGCCATTTTTATTCAATATCAGTTGACCAATGTAAGAAAGATCTTCATTCAAAATTATTTTTAATTTTAAATAAACTCATTGTGGTTGCTGGGTTGAGTCAATATTGACACTTGAAAATAATATTAAAAAAATAAAAACGATTGAAAATTTTGTTTTTTTTCTGAAAATGTTTTCAATAATTTTATGGGAAGACATAACTTTTAGCAGTGTTTATTGCAGCAGCAGGGGCTATTTTGCCAAAGGAATTGTGCTAATGCTAAAATTAACGCTTGATATGAACGATTATTGTTAATTTCAAAGCAGCCCAAATGCAGTCAAAATACACCCTACACCACACTAATGGGAACGGTATTTTGTTTACGTCTTAAAGTTCGTAACACCCGCGTCGATGTAATGATGTAATCCGCCCATAAATAAGCCTATTGAACTTTTTTGTAAGCGGTACATGCTATACAAGAATAGGGTATTTATAAAATTCGACTCAACAAATTTTATATATACGAAATTTTGACTATATATTGTTATAATGAGTAGTACATTCATTAATTAAGCAAACATCAATCTCTTGAATATAACTTTTACATTAAAAAATACTAAATAACTTATTGCTACTTACTCGCAATGTGGTAGGGTATGATGTATTCGGATACATTTTGTAGTTTCATATTTTTGTCATTTTATGTAAACAAAAATAAAAATACTCATACAATTGTATTAAATTCACACAGAACATGTACATGTGAGAGAGTAATATTTCTTATTCTCAGTTTCAGTTCTATTTATTTTTCTATGATTCTAACTATCATTTTTTACATATTGGGGATGCCACGCAAATTATTCGCAAATTTTTCCAAACTTCAATTTAGATTTTAATGTAAGCTATGAAAAATTTTAATAATATATTAGTTTCCCAGATGGGATATGCCTAGGTCCTATTAAAAGTCCACCCATTTTTCTCTAAATGTTCACATGAATGTCAAAGTTTTTCATGTAAAATTTTTGTATTTAATTCATATGGGAGGTTCCAATTTGTTAGTCCGCCAATTTATTACCAAAATATTCACATTGATGTCAAAGTATTTTTGCTCTAATAGTTTCCCAGACATTTAATTCTATTTAATTCATATGGGAGGTTCCAACACACCCCCACCACCCCCAAAATAAAAGTCCGCCCATTTTCCTCAAAATGTTCAAGTAAATGTTACATTTCTTCGTGCAAAATTTGAAGATTTTAGATCTATTCTATGGGATATTTTGTTGATTAGGACGATGCGTTTCAATGTACTAAATACGAGAAAAATAAAAAAAATTAAAAAGGTCCTCAGTACAATATGTTCAAAAAAATCGTATGCAATCCTTTTGAATTGGGTGTCAAAAATTTCGTAATTTTGAGCTTATCGCGGAAAAATAATTAAAATTATTGTTAGTGTATTTCTGGTCCACAAAACGTCTTTTATAAGGGGCATATAAATTAAAAAAAATAAAAATTCTGAAACGGACTACACCAAATGCCAAACAAATGAAAAAGTATAGTCGGGCCGACCATACGATACCCTACACCAGTTGTGAATATTAAATGTGATTTATTTTTCATAAATCGTTAAATCGACTCAGAAAGTGATTCTGAGTCGATATACTTTAAGGTATATCGGTATACTTTAAGTATATTTCGTACCGAATTCTGACCGACAACTCCACAAATTTTTCCGAATTTTCTCAGACAAAGAGTTCCGAATTCCGAGCAACCTTTCTTACGATCTTCGTTACGAATTCTGACGGAATTCGGATAACTTGTGCAGACTGTCGGTACGAATTCGGCAAAAATTGTTTAGTGGGAATGTACTAAATACGAGAAAAATAAAAATAATTTTTTTCGAATGGTCCTCAGTTCCCTACCAGCGATTGAAAATCCTGCCCTTAGTGTTATTTTTGAAAAATAAAATATTTTCGATATTTTCGAATTGAGTCTCAAAAATTCCGTAATTTTGATTTTGATTCCGGCAAAAAAAAAAAATTTTGTAGAATATTTTTGTTCCACAATATGATTTTTAATGGGTTGGAGAGGCATATTATTTTCACTTTTTATAGAAATGGGTGTCAAAATTGTCTTAGTTTTTTGCTCATACAGAAAAATATTTACAAAATAGTTTGGCATTTGGTTTAGTCGATTTCAGAATTTTTTTGAAATTTATTTGCCCCTTATAATAAAAGTCGTTTTGCGGACCGGAAATATACTAAAAAAAATTTTAATTATTTTTCCCGCTATAAGCTCAAAAAAATGTTGGTGGAGTTTTATTAAATTCGGAAGTGATGCATTTATAGTGCGTCCAAATTCTGTCAAATTAACTTAAAATTTCCTGTAAAATCGTATACTAAAATCAGATTTGATATATGTTCAGCAGTTTACGGTCTATTAAAAAATGTCTCCCAAAGTCAGTGTTTTGGCCGCAGATATGCAGATGAAGGAGTTGGAATTTTTACAAAATAAGTACGCCAATATTATTTATTACATATCGAAAAACTTTCAAAAAAGGTATGATATCCAGGGACCGTAACCGTTTTGATTTTTATAATAAAACTCAAAAAATAATAATTATTTTGGATTTTTATTTTTTTTTGGTGGAAATACTAATTTTTTTCTGATTTTTATTTTTTTGGGCAGAAATAAAAATCAAAAAATATTTTTTTTGGCAGTAATAATAATTATTTTTTAATTTTTATATTTTTGGCAGAAATAAAAATCATTGTTCGTTCGTCAGTCAAAAAATCAAAAATTTAAAAAGCATAGTGTTTTATAAAAATATAGCTCAAAACAATAAAAATGGCATCTTTAAAGTTGTTCTCCTATAATTTCTTATATTTGATTTTTTTCTTTAAAAATTCAAAGATAATAATTATTTACGATCCCTGATGATATCACAATTACAAAAATATCGCGTGAAGCCTAATATCAAATTAAAAAATCATTTTTAAATCCTAAAACATATATTTATATTTAACGGTTTTTAGTACAAACAATTTTAGTTCAAACTTAATACGTATTATATTAATCTGGCATCTTCTTTAGCACGATGACTGTCAGTGGTTGACAGCAATAAAATTTTCAGCTGTTCGATTGGGTTGTGTGTGTGTGTTTGGAAAATCTTTTGTGTTTTTTGTTTAAAATTTTCTATTTAATTCTATGGAAAACATAAGTTTTAAAATGTTTATTTGTAAAAGCCATTGAACTTCTCTTTCCGAAAAAAATAGTGAAAATTTGAAATATCCATGAAGTAATAAATTAAAGCAGCAAAAGTTTAAGCCATCGAAGTATAACAGCAGTAAAAGACTTCTACAGTCTGGCCTCGACAAAATGTCCAATAGCATATTTGCCCATACAAGAGAGGCGGTACGTGTAAAAGTGAAGGTAATTGAAATGAAATTCTAAACCTAGTTATTGATAGCAATACTATCAAATATCAAGGTTATTGAATGGTTTTGATTGTTTCTACTAAAATTATTTCGTAACACAGAAATGTGAACCAAACCTTCCACCTGAATGGCGTAAATTCAGCGTAGATCCTCAAATTACTTCCCTGGAGGTTTTGTACTCGTTATTGGCTAAGGCTTTCGATATAAAGTCGGACTTTTCCATTAAATATAAAGCATACGATCCAGCTGGTAATGAGATTTACTTGGCCGTCTTGTCAGACTGGGATTTGGATGCAGCATTTCTAAGGATTCACAATATTTCCATACAGACGTCTACGGAACCATGTCTGATGCTGCAAATAGACATTAAACCCTTCACAGAGGTAAAAGAATGGGATCCTGATTTAGCAAGTAGCCCCTCAGCAACATTGATTGTGTCGAACAGTGCTGGAGCTACGCCCACTGGTTCAACGGCTCGTGAATTGATATCACCACTGCAACAGTCGTTGGGAGTTTCCCAAAAGTATGTTCAACAGATGCAGACTAAGTTGCCTGGTCTAATAATGAATCAGATGGAGAAAACATTCTCAATGGTTCAAAAAGCATTCAATTTAAATGAGGAGACAATGGCAGCATTGCCTCCAAGACCACCATTGGCCGATAATGAGTTTCGTATGTTTCTCGATGCTTTAGGGCAGATTCAACGTTGTGATGAATTGCGTAAAGTAATATTTTTTGGTGGTATTGATCCTAGTCTTCGCCGGGTAGTGTGGAAACATATTCTCAATGTTTATCCTAGCGTAATGAATGGTCATCAACGTATGGATTATATGCGTCGTAAATCAGAGCAATATTATAAGTTGCGTGAAACTTGGAAGACGGCTATAAAACAGGGTGAGTAATAGCATTAAAAAGAAACATTATTGCATTTATTTAATAATTCCAATTTAGCATAAAAGAATCCTAAGTTTTGACACATAACTAAAGTTGTTAGACAGTTTTTGTTGGAAAACAAAACTTTTTTAAAAATAAACCATAATTAGATTTTTAAAAAAGTTAATTGCTTTAAATTGGAATTAAAGAAATACGCATTTCTTATTAGATTTATCTCTACTCAAAACCTATAATACCTACCTAAATTTCAGTTAACAAATTAATGCAATTTAAAACAGTTAAAAATTTATTAAATCACAAAATTTAGCAATCGAGACAAATTTAAGAATTTAATCATTGTCTTAGGAAACTTTTTTTGAGCTCCGAATCATAGCAAACCATTTTGATAACAAAATACCTAATCACATTTTAAAACTTGAATTTCTTAGGATATGTAGTTGGCGAACTAGCTTATGTAACGAGTATGGTGAAGAAGGATGTTTTGCGTACTGATCGTTTACATCCATTTTATGCAGGCAGTGATGACAATCAGAATATAGCAGCACTTTTTAATATACTCACGACATACGCCCTCAATCATCCATCCGTCAGCTATTGTCAGGGTATGTCCGATATTGCTTCACCTTTACTGGTGACCATGAATGATGAAGCTCAAGCTTACATATGTTTTTGTGCTATTATGAGTCGAGTGCGTGGAAACTTTATGCTTGATGGTATCGCAATGACACAAAAATTTGCCCATCTTACAGAAGCTTTAAGTTTTTATGACGCCGAATTTTGGGAATATTTAAAGGCACAACAGGCAGATGATTTATTATTTTGTTATCGCTGGCTATTACTTGAGCTGAAACGTGAGTTTCCATTTGAGGATGCATTGCGCATGTTAGAAGTACAGTGGAGTTCTCTCAAATATGAAACAAGTGTTGCTGGAGATCGCGAGGAATTGAAATTGTATGAAAAAGAATTTGTACCAACCACAGAGGCGCCAGTTTCAGCAGCTGTAGTAGGTGGTATTCCGACGCCAGCTAGTGTTTTGTGTGGAAACGGAACATCACCCATAAGTCCTTCGTTTTTAATGGCAAAGCCAAGAGAAAACGCATACACAAAGGTATGTGCTTTAAGGCGTCAAAGTTCTTCGGCTTCTCTTAATTCCCTAAGTTCATCGCTAAGTACGAGTACGAATCACTTGGGATGTATGAATGTTCTAAATTCCAAATTAGATGTGACAAAACGTCTTAATCAAAGTTTGGATGACAATATAACACGCCATGCTACACGACGTCAACGAAGAGCTTCTTCGAAAGCCCATCAATCATTGGATGAAACTAAAATGTTACAACTACTAGAAGGAGTTGAAAATCCTGTTGGTTCTATGAAAAATGAACGAAATAACATTGACGATGATGATGATGTTTTTTCTGATACAAATCATTTCAACTTTCACGATACTAATCCATTTAAGGACACTGATGAAGATCCCTTAATGAATGCGAGTCAAGTAAAGCAAATCCCTAAAGCATTTCTAAGCAGTTCGTCTTCGTCGCTACACGGCGATGACACAATATCATCAACGACTACAGGATGTGGTAATGTTAGTGGCAATAGTGGCGATGCTGATGCCAGCGTTGACAGCAGTAGTGAATGTAATAGCCCTGACAACAAAAATCTTCAGATGCCCAAAGGAATAGCAAAGTTACAAAACAAAAACATACTCTCCAACTATAATTCGGTAAGCAATATAATTGCAAAACAACTAGCGACGAATGTAAGCGAAGGTGTCAAGCGAGTAAGCAGCACCGGTGGTGGACATTTCAGAGATCTAAAGGAGAAAATTGCTGCCACAAGTAGAAAAGGTAATCAAACATTATTTTTTATTTTATATGGAAGTGGCATTACGTCGTTTTCTTTTATTATTTTTGTTTAGGTTTAAGTCTAGAGGAATGCAACGAAAAATCCCAACAAAAGCTGGTAAAAAATTTCAATGAATTTCTTAATTTTGCCTCATTGAACAAAAGTCGCGTGGCTAATGCTGAAAAAATTAGTGCCACAATATTAACAACAGATGGCAAGCCGACAGCAGCACATAAATCTAAAACACCATCGCCAACACACAATCAAACCTCACCAACACAAACTCTACATCCTTTAGTGCAACTAACAAAAAGTGGGTTTACTTCCTCCCTAGATTCGGATTCCTCATCGTTACCCGATACTACTAATAATACATGGAGCTGTTCAACAGCTGCTACAGCAATACAACAAGCTAATAATTTAAGTAGTAATAGTTTACAACTGGAGCTCAATTCTCAACTCTCTTCACTTACGCACACCCCAGAACGTACGCCAATCGCTGAACGCCAAAGAGATCAATCTACGCCAAATTCAACCAGCAAACATCAAGATCAAGGTGATTCCAGTGCCACTCCAGACGACAGCCAAGAGTTGGATTATTACCCCATGACAACAGCCATTACTCGTGAATTACGTTTGGAAGCTGAAAACTTAGACCGCCAATTGTTTGGTGATTTAATTTCCATGAAGGATGATGATGACGGAAAGAAAGATTCCACGGGTAGTGAAATAGAATATGAAAAATTGGGCAAAGATTCACTTGACATGGTCGAAGATTTAAAAGAAAATGAAATCATTACTTGTCCCGAAGTCAGCGAACTTATGATGAGACGACGTCAACGTGATAAATCATTAGCCGCAAAAAAAGAGGAAAAGCTGTCCAAGCACCTCCTGAATGGACAAATTGATAGCAATTTGAATGTACGCGATGGTGGTGGTATTGAACCTGGAGAACAAACTAAAAATAGTATGTCGAATGCTTTAAAACTAAATCCCTTTTTGGATGAAAGTCTTTTGCGAGATGAAATATTGTCAACAGCACAAAAGACCGGTAGTATTAGTAGTAGCAGTAATTTATATAATCTTCCTACAACTTCCACATCCTTGCCAGAAGTGTTGGTGCCAATATCAACAGATACTCCAGATGCAACAGCAATAGATGAAATGGCAACAACAGCTGCTGAAGACGAAGTCACTTTTTCCACAAAATCCCCACCATTTTCCAGTTCAGCAACCAATAATTCCTCACCTACACCCCGTCTACCACCTCCATCGGAGTTTGGTGGTGGTAATCCGTTTCTTATGTTTCTATGTCTCACTCTTCTATTGCAACATCGCAATACCATTATGAAAAGTAACATGGATTACAATGAAATTGCCATGCATTTTGACAAAATGGTACGCAAGCACGATGTGACCAGAGTCCTCAATCAAGCTAGACGCATGTATATCGATTATTTAAAAAATCAAACCACATACAATCCACAACAAAAACAAGAACAGCAGTCAACTATTCCATGCACTGCGCAGCAACAACAGCCAACAAGTGATGTCAATAGAAATGCAACTGCATCGACCAGTAATCATCAGAAACATTCCAAAAACATTCATCATAATTCTCACCATAATTCCTCGGTCACGATTTCATCTACATCCACATCGCCATCATTTTTTACCAAGTCATCATAAGATATTCTAAACCATTACAGGTAGAATTGTTTATGATTGACGAAACAAAAACACCAAAGATTTGTTGAAAATACAAATGGACTGTGTTTTTCACTTGTTTTCCCTTTCACTTTTGAGATTAAATAATAAATTTGGAATAAGAATACGATTTTTTTTTTATCTCCTATGTATGTGTACTTAAAGTTGACATTTTTAATTCTTTAGATTATTTACATATGTATGTATGTGTGTATTTATTTTACTATATTATATTATCTTAATATTTATGTATCATTTTTATTAAGACAAGTTTTTGTATCTAATTTTAATTAATTTATTCTACTAAAAATAAAATCAACATACATATGTATAACATTAAGCTTTAATTATTTAACTAACGGTTATTCTTAATCTTAAACAACACTCAATTAAAACATTTTACGGCAACAACTAAGCAAGAGAACAAAGTTAAAAAACTCCATAGAATTCCTCCTCACTTACTTTATACAATAGATTTATTATAAAATGTATGTGTAAATTAAATAAAATTGGAAATTCTAATTCAAAATAATATGAATTCAATATATACAAACAATAACAACAATACTATAAATTAGTGAGTAAGTAAAATGTAAAAAAAATCCACAACACACCATATTTCAAATTCGCTTTTAAAATCAATAATAAATTTAATTATTTATCGATTTAATTAAAACATTTATTTTTGTCAATTTATTACTATTTACAGGTTACGGTAATAAAGTAATAAAGAAAATGTAGTAACACAAACCCAGCAACCAGTAAAAAGTTTCCATTCATGCATATTTTAGTTTACAATTTCATATCGGTTTTATTTTGCTTCATAAACAGTGAATTAATTGCTTAATACGAGGGTCTTCATATTTCTTGTGAAGATCAGTAGAATTATCAAATCAATTATAGAAGTGGATTAGAAGAAGAAGAACAGTGCGATAACACTCATTATTGGGTCTCTGCTTCAGTACCCTGCATCTAATGATTAGTTTGTGATGCCGTCGCAAATAATCTGATGCTCATTATATGCATAGTGTTTTACTTTAATTTAATGCGCAAAAAATAAAAAAAATTGCTGATACGGTGTTTGAGTGTTTACTTAAAGAAATTTACTTTCATTTACACATTTTTAATTCAAAATTGTTTGTCTAAGCATCAGCTTTGCATCATTAACGCAGTGCAGTGATGCATTTCCTAACAGGCCCAAAGTTCCTGAATTTTTATGATGCGAGTTTTGCCGCTTTTCTTCGCATCATAATTTCAGTGGTGTATTTCCGAAACTAGGTAGGAAGGATTTATACTAGGTTAAAAACCAAGTATAAATTAAATTTACTCCCCATCGTAAAAATGTGATACAAAGTTGCACTGGAAGATACACAATAAAGCTCAAAGATGTGCCTCACTTGGTATAAGTAGACATTCTCCTAAATCTATTACCCATTACATCAAAGTACATCAAATTCTATTTTAACTGGAGTTTTTATTCGTGCCAGAAATCTCTAAAAAATATAGACCAAATTTAGTATACAAACGAAAATATAAGATGATATGGAAATACAAATATAATAATAAACATTTAAAAAAATAAAAAAACATCACTGGAATAATGTAGAGTGTATGGTTACTGATGCGTATATTTTGGATGTACATAGTGTGCGATTGTAGCTTAAAACGCTGCATTTACTTTGTTGAATGATTTCAGTTTTAAAAATTATATTTTATTTTTAGACGTTCACGGATAAGAAGACCTCGAATGAGTTTCTTCCAATTGCCATAAACGCGAGCCTCATATTTTTCCTGTTCTTTACGTTCCTGTTCTTCTTGATCTTGATGCCAGGCGGCAACAACTTGATCTTCGAATTCTTCACAAACAATAAAACCATCATAGGTGGGATGACAAGCGCCCTGATGAAAATCAAAGCCCACTACAGCATTGGCGCAATCGATGCCAAGTTTTTTGCAAATTCGGTTAAGACCAGGCACTTGGGAAAATAAATATAATTATTATTCAGTAATATAGCATTATCTTGTCATTTAATTATACTTACAACGTATATGTTTAGTTTTTTTGGGCAACATGGACGGTTTGAATAACTCAACATTACCGTATGCATTACGTGGTACCAGACCATTTTCAGCTGTGGGTGGTTCATAATCCTGGGTCTGCCAGTAACCAAAAATTTCAAGTGGTTGATCTTTTATGACAGTTTGAGTGATCTTGAGAAAAATATAAATATTGTATAAAATCAAAGTAAACCTATTTTATCGAGATACACTTACTCTATCCCACTTGGGTCGGGCCTTAACAATTTTATATGGTTTCTCACCCAATTTTACGGTTCGGGCTTGCTTAAGCCAAATTTCCCGGGAGTGCAAAGTGTGTACACAATCTCTGGAATACACCGCTTCTCCGCGAATATAACCGAGTGTTGGCGCATTGGGTGGATATATGGCTTCGAATTTTAATAAATGCCGTTCTAGAGCATAAAATGGGTGATTTTTATAGTCTCCAATAGCGGTTGGCATCGGTTTCTCTTCATGAATACGTCGCAATTCCTGATCCTCTTTTATGTCACGCTTTGTACGGTGACCCACATACTTACAAATCGCTGTGTCTAACCAGGCTTTATCAACTCTAGATTTACGTACAACGGTAGTCCAATTCGGACAATATCTAGCAGTAACATCTTTAATACTTAAATCATTTTGAAATGCAAAGACATACGCCAAAGAGGGCGAAGCTGATTTCTGTACAAATAAGAAAATGAATTCGATAATTAATCAATTTTCTGTGTGATGAATACTGTTATGGATGTAGATTCTAAAATATTGTTGTTCTATGATATTTTATTATTACTTTGGTATATAGACGATGCTGTAGCAGACATCCCAGAAGGAATTATTGTAAAATTGAAGTACAATCGTTTACAATTGTGAATTTGTTTATTCAATATTGAATCTTTATTAAATTAATAAAACAAAACTTGAACTTACTCTTATTGTATCGACGCAATGTATTTTTCCTTTAAATATATCGACACAAATCCATTGTTCCTCAACATCACACCAAACTTCAATCCACATATCGCCAGCAGTTTGTTTACGTTTTGCCTTCTCCGCGCTATCCGCATTATCATTTTCATCATCAGACGATAATACACGACGATCTTGTTTAGCTAAAGAAGGTGCAGATTTTGGTTTTTTCGGCGGTGACGGTTCAAAATCTTCATCGGAATTGTCTGTACTTCGTAGGGTCTTTAATTTTTTTATGTTGGGCCGACGTTTCTTTTTGTCTTTTTTAGATGTCAAATTCTCATTCTCACAATCAGCATCATTATCATTTGCGCCGTCTAGCTGAGGTATTTCAACTTGCATAGGTTTTGCATCTTCTTGAGAATCTTCATTTGTCTTTTGACGTGAACGTAAAACTCGTTTTGGAACACTGGTAGGTTGAGGATTTATTAGAAAATCAGTTGATATTTTTGCTTTATTAATGGGACTTTTACCACGAATCGTTTTCTTTTTAACATTCGTATTTTGCTGTATAATGCCTGGGAATTTTTCTTTGTAGTGCGAGTTTTGTAGTAGAAAAGCTGTAGATATATGAGCCTGTGGTGATTTACTACGAGACCGAGTACTTCGTGTTTGTTTTGAGGTGCTGGGTTGTTCGGTAAGATTTTGGTCTTTTCCAGCTTGTACGACAATTTTTGGTATGACCAAAGTGCCGGCCTCAATTGTAGGTCTCTTGTCAGGTTTTTCTTCTTGCTTATCACTGCTGTCGATTGCTTTAGTTCGCTTTAATCGTGATAAAGTAGGTTTGTTTAGAGATTTAGTTTTGTTTTCTTTTTGTGAACTTTCCAAATCATCGTGACCGTTACTTTTCTCATTATTGGTTTCTTGTGCTGAAGGCGCTACAATTTCAGTTCCTGAAGCCAGGCAGCTTTTCACAGTAGTTTTAGTTTTCTTCACTTCCGTCCCCTTTATTGTTTTCTCTTTCGATTTAGAGTTTTCTTCATTCTTTTCACCCTTAAGTTCCTTAACATTTGCAGCAGTTGATGATGCTTGTGTTTTTTCATCAATATGCTTTTCTTTAGCATTTGTTTTTGTTACTTTTTCTGTTTTTATACAAGTTTCAGATTTAGTGAGTTTAGTGTTGTTCCGTTTTTCCGTTTCCTTAAGGTTTGCTAATTTCCTACTTGTTTTTGGTTTTTCTTCTACTTTTATGACATCTTCACTGTCTTCAGAGGAACTTTGTTTGGATTTTTTAATTGTCTTAGATTTAGCTTGTTGCTTTCTTTCTTGTGTTTCTTTTGCGTCACTTGTAAGTGGATTTTTTATGTTTTTCTTAGCAGCAACTTTTTTGTGTTCACTATCAGTGCTCTCCTGTTTTGTTACTTTCACTTTAGAACTGGAAGCCTGAGATATGGCTTCAGTATTACCATCTGTATCTCGATCTTCCTTCTTGATCTTTTTAGAAGATACTGACACATTTTTATTATCACTTTCATCATCTTTTTTCAATTTAAGCGATAGTAAATCCGACTGAGCGGGTTTCAAGGGCATTGGTTGCATATTTACAATCAAACGACATTGTAGTCCCATACCGCGTAGCAGAATAATAAATATAAAAATCATGTCCTGTTTACTACGAGCTTCTTTTTTCTCAATTTGTTTTAAAAGCTCAAGGTGTGCTTTGGTTTTGGTTTTAGCTGCTGATTTTTCGGGATATAAATTTTGTGTTTTTAATTTGATCGCACTCTTAAACCAAGTCACCATTGACTGAAAGTATTTTATTTCTGTTCCTCTGTCAGGCGGATATGCGGATTTACTGGGTAAAAGTTTCAAAGCTTTTGGCATTAAGATTGTGTCGTTTAGCAAACGATTGTAGAAAAATGTACGACCAAAATGGCACAACAAACTGGCTTTGTGCAGTAGAACTTGACGTTCCTTAATATCTCGATTAAGTCTACGTTTAAAAGCCATTTCTATGTCCTGTTGGGTTTTTGTTTTCTTCTCACGACTGCGAGATGGCAAATCTACGTGTATTTCAAGACTTCCAATATGAGAAATATCGCTTGAAGTTGCTGTGGTATCAATACCTTCTGAAGTATCTGTAAGTAGAACATAAATTTGAGAAAAAAATTTAAAAATACTTCTTTTTACTTGCATAACATGCTTTCCCAGTGACTATACGATATATAGTGAAACAACCGAACTTATAGAAAAACATATTCGACGAGCTTTAAGGAAAAATATTACAAAAAATTGTTTTAATTTTAGGAATTTAAATTCAAAAAACTTTTTCTAAATCTATTAGACTTTAGAGCATAAATGTATATCCTCTATTCCATGGTCAACAATATAAATGTATTTTAATCTTTCTAGGCATCTAGGAATGTCACACCAGTAATCGTCAATAAATTTCATGGAATTATTATTAAGCGTCCAGATAAGAAAGTTCATATGAAAACTAAAGCTGTGGATATTTGTATTTTTTTAATAAAATCGCTTAAATATATACAGCTAAGTAAAGCCTATGTTGGGAAATAAAACGTTCTTTGTTCGATAAATATGATTATGGCTAAAGTATGGAATTTCTAAGCAGTTTACTTTCTACATTAACCCTTAAATGCAAACTTTTTAAAGAAAATAACGCTATTCCGAATAATTTCTAAT